AGAGGCTGGAGCCGGCGCTGGTCCGGTGAGCCTTGTTGTGCTGTTCCAGACTCAGCTGCTGCTCGTGCAGGTCCACTGGGGTGGGGTTGATTCCGGTCCCCTCCAGGTAGATCCGGATCCTCTGACGCCACTGCCACCTGCGGAGAGCCATGATTAAGCTGTAAGAACAATTCCTAGGTATTCCCACTTCTTAACACCTACTGGAGTACCAGGAGAAATACTGATTAACTGGAAAAAACTGAACAGAGTACAGCTGTTGTGAGCGCTCTACATGAGATTCATCTCTTCGTGAACAAGTAGCAGTCAGGTTAACCTCTAAAACAGGCTTTCACATAGAGAGTCAGGCCATACCACTGAAAGCTATTCGCAGGTGAGGCAAAGGACAGGGAATATCAGCTTGCACTAAATTTGTTTTTAACATTTTAAGTGATGCACAATGGTTCAAAGCGGGCTTCCTGGGGGGTAAAGTCACTTTGAAGGTCCACTTGTCTCAACTTAACAGCCTTAATCAGATTGTTGACATCATTTACAAAAACTGAACCAAGTAGAACCGGACATATTAAGCAAGCCCAGAAAAGCAATTAACTACAAGGAGGTGTACCTTGACGTGAAGACGGGTTTCAGAGAATCTAAAATCCTGATAAATGAAATGAAGTAAGGATGCAGAGAGCAGACAGAATCTATATCTCCCTTCTTTAACTCTCATCCCTCACTGTGAGGGAGCAAGAGAAGGCTGCTGACCTGAATTCACCAAGCTTCAGCTTCTGAAGTGCTTCTGGGAAAGAGTGAGTGTAGCGCACAGGCAAGCACAAATGTCCCTCTGACCTGCAACAGAAAATACCTGCATACAGTATACACACTTTGTTCATTTGCTGTTACTCAACCACACCAGACTAGGCTGGAAAGCATATCAGCATGACTTTGTTTATACATATCTAAGAACCCAAGCATTTTTTTTTAATGTTAAAAACAAATCCTATTTCATACTCTTCAAAAGCTCTCCAGAAAAAGAAAGCCCGGCTGATTGATAATTGATTAGGACATGGGCAGTTTCCTGACTCTCCAGACATCTACTGCAGAACATTTCAGACATTTTTGTCATGCCAGCCCATTCCTCAGAGTGGAAGAAAAACTTACCTTTCGGGGTCAGTGTTCACTCCCAACACTGGCTTGTGCTTGTCCAGGACTTTACTGGCCACCAGCAGCATGGTGCCATCTCCTGTCAGGGAAGTGGAATGTGGTCAGCGTAGCCTGACAGACAGATTTTCATCCTACACTGAGCCTGATGAGCAAGTGGAGAAACTCTCAAGACATTCCCATGTATACACCAAGACGAGTTACTGAAGCTATCGGAGTGCTTGTTCGAGGGTACAACAGCAGCGTCTCACTAACTTGATTATTAAGCACGAACCCCCAACCCCCTAGTCTTGAGCCCTAAGCACTATTGCACACCTGCTGTCCTCATATAGGGTGACCCTGTATAGCTCTGTAGAGGGACAACCTGGAGCAACACGAATTACCGCTTCATGTTCATCGGGCTCCCCCGAACGAGCGCAACGGGTTTGTCTCCACCCATGTGTCATGTTCGATTATTAACCCCCAAACCATTTTCCACCTGGAGACACCGCCTCCACAAGGCCTCTCAGCAAGCCATGAAAACGTGCAGATGGATCACGTTCACACACGGCAGGAAGGAAAACTGAATGAGGTTCCAGCAACACAAATACTTACCTGCTTTAACCACAACACCCGTTTAAAAGCTGGGAGAAATTATTTTAAAAAGCTGCAGCAGTACAAAGCGTAACTTCACATTAACCTTTTTTTGAAAAATTGAGAAGGCAGGGACAGGGGCATCGCATTTATAAATGCCAGCAGAGGTCGCCCTCTTTCTAGAGCGTCTGTAACTCGAAGGCCCAGCTCGGACACAAGCGGTTCTGACTGACACGGTCCCGGCCCACATTCTGCTTTAACCTCGACAGGCCTGGCTTGTAAGTCCAGTCCACTGGACCGTGGGAAGATCCGACATGATCTCACAGGGGTTCCTGGAAATACTCTGCTTGCAGGTGCCAAAGTAAGCCCCCGAGTAAAGCAGGAGTAAAGTAAGCCTGATCTGCTCCAAGCCCTCCTAACCGTGAAAAGGGAAGGCTGCAACAACGACTCACCCCCGGCGGATACGATGGCGTCTGCCCATCGGACCGTCTCTTCGTCATACTCCCTCCTCTTCACCACCCGCACCTCCATCCCCTCTTTCCTGCGCCACCCAGGGAAACAAAAATAGCATTCGCTGGAATCTAGGGGTTTGAACCCGCAGCACTGCCAAAAATCCCATCCCAATTTGGACATGCAAAGGAGCAGGGAGCCACCGATTTCAAAGAGGGGCATATCTGTCTCCCAGTTCACAAGTCACCATGAAAAACGGGAACTGAGAGAGACAGAGAGACAGAGAGACAGAGAGACAGAGAGACAGAGAGACAGAGAGACAGAGAGACAGAGAGACATGCCGCACACCACAGCTGTGCAGGAAGCAAGCACCCAGTTCAGCTGCTGCTCAGGCAGGATCACAGCAGTCCCAACGGTTTTTACCTTGTGAATGACTAGTGGAAAATTCATGAGGGGTAATGTATTTTCTTCAATAAAAGAAACAGGGCCCCTTCGTAAAAGTTATCAATTGTTTAAGTGTTTCACAAAGTCTTATGTTCAATTTAAGACTGGCTGTATTCTACAAACAAAATTCAATGCCTAGGAAATCAGAAGCATAACACCATGATCCAAGAGAAAGAGCTCTAGAGCAAACACCTCACACTGGGCTAGACCACAACACCTCATCACTGGGCTAGAGAACAGCATGTGCTTCCAATGTGTTTTCACCCATCTACCTTCAGACAATCAGCCTTCTCAAGTGCTTCTGAAACTTTTTGACTGTGCACACAGTGTGCAAAACACCGCAATGGCTGAACAGGTTATGAGTCGTGACATAATAATGAAGGAAGTAACAATCACAGAACATCAAATCGAATCTGTGTGAGATGCGACACAAGACAAAAAGAAAAATAGTATACAAATTCATCTTGTTCCTCCTTTTAACAAACTGAGCGTATTTCACCTGCCCAAAATAAACTCGTGTATCTCAATACCCATCGTCCTTTTGTTCCACTGCAGGAGAAAGGTAACGAAGGGCAGTCGCTATCCTGACCCTGGATTCTGCGCTACTACACCGGTACAACTCCTGATCGCGCCCTCCCTCCAGCCTCTTCCTGACCCTCCTCTTACCGCAGGCTGTCCACAACGTGCTGCACGTTCCGGGTGTGGATGTTGTGTCGCTCCAGCAGCCCGGAGTAGCTGGAGCCCTTCATAGCCAGCTACACAGAAGGAAAAGAGAGAGCAAGATGGAAACATGACCTTGAATGTCCTGCTTTAAACATGCTGGAGAAAATGGGCAGTAACAAAAAAAAAGCTAAATCAGCAATATGGCTACCCACAAGTAAATCGGAAACAGGCAGTTCAAGGTTTAAGGTGCTTAGGTTTCAAGATGCATGAAAGGATTGAGGGTCAAATAGAGAAGCTACTAAAAAAAGTTATAGAAAAAAGCAATATTGTACACGCTGCCGTGACGGAGCTTTTGAGAAAAGAAACACCAATCTTTTCTTTTACAGGCTCTCCACTGTTTTGGTTCATCTGATTCATCAGGAGAGCAGACAAGCACTCCCAAACTAAAAAGGATCCACATCCCAGCACCGCGCTGCGTCATCAACTCTTGATTAGAAACTCTTCGCTGTACGCGCTTTGCCACTTTAGTTCTTCAGACGCATATCTTTCTCAGCAACTTGTTCAAACTGACATTCTCCTCCCCCTGGGATTTGACTGTAGCTGATGGAGGAAAGATACGGAGAAATCCTCCAGGATAGCAGACCTCAGGGGCTTAAGTTAACAAATTTCCCTGAAGCAACAGTGATCTCAATTTGCAAACATCTCCATTAAACTGTCTCTGCTCGGTTAAGGCGTTTGCTGAGGGTGTGTTTCAGACTGCATAGCCAAAAGGGCGTTGAAACCCCAAATAAATTGGCCAGATTATCTTCTCTGCTGTGTGCTACCAGAAGACCTCAGGCGTGCACCTACAGCTCGTTAGTTAAAGCAGTGATTTTTATTACTGGCCATTTAAAGCAGAACCATGTGACATCACAAAGTGCACTGCCACTCCAACATCAGAAAACACAGGTATTAATGACACAAAGATTCTCCTGGTTTAATGCACAAGGGTGTTTACAATGGTGCAACACAGAATCTGTAAAAACAATTCTATTGTATTTAGCGAACATGCAACGCAGGCAGTTCTCTAACTAGAGCGTAATTTATAATAAGCCCCTACTACAGTGACAAAAGGGCCTGGCACACAGGGAAAAGGCCCATAGAAAATGCTACATTCTATATTTCCTTGAACACGACATCTTGGTGGAAAGGTTTCCCATGAATCTGAACACACTTCTGTCAGAACGGAGTCATAAACTGGACTCCTGGAGGGCCCACCTACACAAATTTCTTATTTGTTCCAACTAAGCTCTCGGGCGTACAGTTGATCCAATTAACTGTGTAACTACAATACTTCTTATCACACTCAAGTGTTTTCCAAGTAACATTTTGAGCAGCCAACTGTAAAAGGCCTTATGGCAAATCCTATATACATCTAAGTAAATGATAAAGTTAATTGTTTAATAGACTGCTCAGGATAACAACAGAAACCAGAAGAGAGAGTTGTCCCATCCTGGTCCTGGAGGCCAGATGTATCTGCTGGTTTCCTCGGTCTCTTTAAAGCAGCTGCAGGTGTGAGTCTGGGAGAAGCAGGTAAATTGGACCAATTAAGTCAGCAGAACTCATTTCATTCCAGCCCATTAAGAGCTGAGCTAAAATTAAAAGCTGCACACAAGCCAACCCTTCAGCGCCCGGACATGGGCCAATACCTGAAATAGAAACTGAGAATAAAAGTAGCTGGAGTAAGGAAACGACTCATAATTTGTATTTTCTCCCTTTTTTCCTTTTCCTCGTCACGCATACCAAGTGTTTCAGATCCTCTTCGGAGAGCCCAGCGCACCGGTACCTCTGCTGTTCAAACTCGTATCTCGTCGTCTTGGTCACGACGGCCACTTTGGCTGGCGTGAACCCCGCACTTCCGTGAGAAGCCCCGCAAAACACGCCGCGGACACACGAGACCGTAGGCTTCACGCCGAAGAGAAAGCCCAGCAGCTTGCGGTAACTCATACTCGGGAGCCCGTTCGCCTGGCCCGCCTATTTTCTGGGGGTAAAAAATAAGATTATGAGTACCCAGATTACAGGTGCGAGTGCGACTTCGGTTTGATAAACCAGCTTTTTTACACTGTTCTTTAGATTTGTTTATGCTGCGATATCACGGACAACGAGAACTAGGCAACCGCCCTACCCCACATGCACACCACATCAGCTCCGTATCTCCAATAAAGACACCTAAGCGCTTCTGTATTTAAACAGGAGGCCCTGAACAATAAAAAAAAAACAACAACAGCTGAGAATTAAGACAACATTCAGACCTTGTGTAGCTTCGGAAACCAGTTGTCACCGCGAGATCGGGTCATCGGCTTGTCCACGGCGCCCGCAGCCCCGCTCGGCAGAGGCAGGCGGCCCCGACCCGCTGAAGCACACGTCCGCCCGGGTGCTGGTATGGCTAGTATTAGTGCTTATTAATACTACTACACCGCTGCAGTTATCACAAGGGCGGTCATGCTGGATGACTTGTGCAACTACTAGCACATACGGGACAAGTGGCAGGCGTATTATCTTCTCCAAATCGGCAAAAGCTTTCAAAACAAACAAAAAAAACTCCTTTTCGTTTTCCACTAAATAAGTACTTTCCGTAAAGTACTCCGCAATTTTTTACTTCCTCTCATAACAGGAGGAGGCGGAGAGGAGAATGAGCAAATCCTCCAGCGAACCCAGTACACACGCTCCCACAGACGCAGCCCTCGCCATCTTCCGATGCGTAAGGTGGCTGGGGTCAGGAGGCGGAGACAACGGCTGACTTTTCTAGCTTAACCCCGTCAGCGCCGGAAGGCATTAGACGGGTAAGTGCCATTGAATGCCCTTCAGAAAGCGTGTTGGGGGGAAAAAGTCTCCACGTCTGCACTGTGCCCGTAATTCGTCTGCTTCTTTTCTCCACAGGCCACGGAAAACGCGACGCAGAAATAGTAGACATGTAGTTCTGTCCCTGCAGACTCTTGGCAGGTTTGAAGGTAGGCGTTATCGCTCAAATGCAATTCTGTGCAAGTGCGAAGCTCTAGCACATCACCGATATTTCTGCCTCAGAGTCTTTGTTGAAATGTTTGGAACTGAACAGTTTCAACGCGTTTTTCCAGAGGGTGTTTAAGCAAGGGCAAGAGCTAAGCGGATCACCTTAACGATGCTGATCTTTAAAATCCTTTACAGCTTAAAAGGACTGTCCTACGCCATCGAGGTGAAGGAACTATCGTTTTAGCCAGGAAGAGAGACAAATACGAGAGACCTGATTCGAGTATTCAAAAATCATCAAAAACATGAACACAATTGGCTCACTAAACTTCTTCAGAATCAACAGGGATATGCAAGCCAGAGGTTACAGCTGGAATCTCAAGACGTGCATTTAAAACCGAGAATAATAGGCACTTCTTTACACAAGGAGTGGTGGATGTGTGGAACAAGGTGCCCAGACTCAGACTGGCTGAAATAAATTAACTAAATCGAACCAAATCAGCTAGATGGGTGGGCTGACCTCTCGTTTTTAAGCATGTTTTTTTTCTTTGTGGCACTTGCAGAAGGCCCACCTTAATGCAGTACAGGTGCTGTGTTTTGAAAACTGTACTAGAGCCCCTTGTTCCTGGAACCAGGGAGAGGGTTAATAACCTCAGATATCAAGGCTTCTGTTTCGCAGCCAGCATATCGTAGTCCTTCTGTAATCACTATTGCATACATTAAAGAAATGAAAAAAATGGCCATGTCTACTGTATCCACTTGGAGCTCATAAATTCAAATACTGTTTCAGTGTCACCATGATCATCTGTCACTGTTTTGACTAGTACACATCTAATAATGAACATAGCCTATTGGGCCACTCTGCCTTCCGCTAAATCTTTTCTAGATCTCTTATGAGCTGATTTCCCTCTCTCACACCCGAAGAAGGCTCCACAGCTGAAACATTCTTTTCAATTCTTTTATTCTAAATAAACCTTTACTTGTTCCTTTGCAGCCTACACATGCTGACGCAGCTACTTCAACAACATCTAATAATATCTGATTGTCCATTCCAGCAACTAACAGCTTCTTTCACTGGGTGGCTCTTGCCACCCACCATCATTTATATATATATATTTACAGTTTCCTCTGATGGCAAAAAATGTTTCATGGAACTGAGATCAGTTGGTGATTACTGCTTAGGAGAGGGTGAGTGCTGGGTTCCTGAAAAATATATTTCTCCTGTCTTTCACAAGCTGTAGGGATTTGCATCACTGCCTCAGGTTTGTCCTCTGTGGTAGGGTGTGGGCTCTTTTGGTGCGGGGAGGGGCTAGAGTCCCAGATCCCATCCTTGCTGTCAGCCATTAGTAACCCCCCCCCTTCCACCGTCAAGCAGTGTGTTACTTGTTTGTCCTGATTGATCATTCCTCACTGCTGAGAAATAGACTTTTCATGGCAAGTGCACAGATAAAGAACGTTAACCTCTTGAGGTTTATTTCTAGTGTTTCTTTCAAAATGGGCATTGAATGTTATAGCCAGATTTCAAGCAACCTTTCCAGGTGGTCCCATAATTAGTCACCAGGGTGCGACAGTGTGTGGTTTGTATGTTAACTTCTGTTCATAACACTATGAATCATACAGCAATACACGACTAATAAATACATACTTTATTTATAATGCATTTCTTTAAACAAAAAAGCATACAAACTGGTACTGCTCTTGAGTTGTTTTCAGAAACTATTGAACAACCTAGCCCAATTAATACAATCATAAAAATATCAAAATGTCCTTATCAACCCCTAGTACATTTTGTGAGCACATCTTGAATAGATAAATTAAGGCAATTTTTCTTTTCACTTTTTAAAACAAAATAGACTGATTCTGTTTTTTTTAAATATTAAAATTACACAAATGACAATCGTAGCTTCCTGTGCAAATACAGCTGAACAGCCAAACCTAAGTATTATATGTACATGATAGCACTTAAACGTGTTTAAAATTAAAAAGTAAATGCAAATTGCATTTTTCACTTGGAATAGAACAAGTAAAACATGAAAAAGAACCTGGAACACCCCCCACTTTATCTATAAGACCCAGAATGCAGATTGCTGCAGCTGTCCTGGAACGTCTCATGGGTCTGTGAGTGAAATAACCTACAGGTGTGTCTAAACCTAACACAGAGTAAAACACCAGAGAACAAAGACTGTTTTTATCCATCTGTGAGGCTGAATTCCAACCCAAACAAGAAACCAGCACAAAGGTGACAAGAAAGCTGTGTGACTCAGCCAAACATTATCAGACAGATAGAAGTATAAGAGCTCCCTTCTGAGTGAAAATGTCACCTTTAATCCAGCAGTCATTCCCCTGGGATGTTAGAGGTAGTTGAAAGACCCAAGAGCATCATAGAAAAGCATTCTTACAGAAGGAAGACTGACTGTGAAGTGCTGTCAGATGATATAACAACAAATATGTTACTGGACATATCCACCTATCAAGTACACCTTTGTATGCCAACGAACAATCTCTTATCGCACCCAGTTTCCAGCAATTTTAATAGAGATACGTTATTGAAATTGTTACTAGAAAGGCTAGGGCCTTCACAAACTTTCACACTATTCTTTTTCAAATAAAGAAGCAAAGGAAATTCTCGCTTGTTCTTTCCTTGTCAAGGGGAATGTTTGATGCCCCTCCTCTCAGGATAAAAACAGAAAAATTCTGGAGAGGCCTATATCCACACTGATATCTGACGTTATATTGCAATAAGTAAATGTTGGCCACTCCTGTGTAACCTTAAATAAGCTGTGAGTGTGCAAAGCAGAGTACTGTATACAGGTTGTACAATCTGTGTTTTTTCATTGAAGAGAACTATGGCCTACATTTACATTGTCATTTTAAAAAAGCTGTTTGAACAGACAGCTTCCATTTATGAAAAAAAAGTCAGCCCCACCACCATCTGCAACCCAGAGAAATTTCTACCAGAAGAAATAAAGAAAATGTATATGAAGCAAAATCAGTCATATACAGGGGAATAATTTCTCTGCACGAGGTGCAATCATTTCTTTGCACAGGTTTACTGTGATACATAGGAAACTACATTCCAAAAGAAGGCAAACATCCCTCAAAATCTTTTGTTTCACATTTAAAAAAACAGTCAAAGAAAAATATGCCAAGAGAGCTGTTTAAACACAGCTGACTCATTGTGCATCTTTACCAAAAATTCTCAAACTCAATTTTCTGGCAAAACAGGCAATTTTCCAAAATAACTCCTCTACGTTGAGTCAGTGTACCTTTTTTAAGCCATTGGCTCATTCCAGCCAACAGCAGTCTTTCACTTAAATAGTATTGCACTGAAGAGTAATGAGTAAGAGAAAAACGCAATAGAATTCAATTCTAGCAAAAATGTGATAAAAGCGGCCATTGAACACATCTTGGCTAAATTACTGGAGCTGTCCAGCACAGTGTGAATTAAGCATTAAAATGGAACTTAAAAAGTGCTGCGATGCAGTATCTTAAGATCACTCCTTAACTAAATATACATACTAAAGGTAGTCAAAAAAATCTACACGATACACATCTTCCAAAACCGTCTCCTTAACAATGTCCAGGCTCAGTAGTGAGAGACATACTATTGCAGTAACCATGCAGCAATGTTCCTTTTTCTGCATGAACATCATTTTCTTCTGATTCTTTCAGAAAACCCTTTTGCCCTTTTTCCTTTGTTTCAAAAGCTACCTCACACCATCATCAAGAATATTCAAGATCTGAGTGTTTCCCCAGATTTACAAAGTAAAACTTGCCGTAAGACAAAAAGAGAAGCCGCGCTTCTAAGTCCGATCTCCAGAGCAGTGTAAATGAGTCATTTCCAAGCACCTGCAGGTGTTCGATATACCCCGAGGAACGAGGGCTCTGACTGAATTTAGGCAGTAGGAGCTGCGATACTGCGTTGGATGAAGGGGATCCTGCTGCCAATCTGCGTTCCACAAGCGGGCGCAGGCAGCTGGCCGCCACCGCGGGATCCAGCCGCCCTTCCCAAAGCGCCGCGGCCGCGCACGGGCCCCGAAGGAAGGCTAGAGCCGGGATCCGGTGAAGGTTATCACAGGAGTGCTCTGTGTGTGAGAGTGACGGGGATCGCCGCACCCTGAGGACGCATCAGGAGCGGATCCGGGGTTGGCTATAGCTCCAGTCTGATCCTCCTGCAAAGACAACAAAAATAGAGTGCCTTATGACTTACCTCTGGATGCTGACTGCACAAAGTCCTACAAGTCACGCTCCTACAAGTGATTTTTACCACAATACCACTGAGAGTGTCCTGACTGGTGGTATTACGGTGTGGTACGGTGGAGCCACAGTACAGGAAAGAAAAGCCATACAGGGGGGTTGTGAGGTCCGCGCAGAAAATCACTGAGACCGAGCAGCCCTCCATCGACACCATACCGGATGTATCTCGACCGCTGCCACAGCTGCGCTCGAGCTATACTTCGGGACCCAATTCACCCTGGCCACGATCTGTTTTCACTGATTCTGGGTTCTGGTAGGAGGTATCGCAGTATCAGAACACTGACCAATAGATTCAAAAACAGTTTCTTCAAAAGCAGTCCACATCACAAACAGCTCAAATTAGCACCTGCACTTTGAGGTACTGCACTGTTTGCACTATGTCCTGTCTTGGCTGCATATATAACATCTATTGTCTACATTTTTATTGACCATATCTGTTTGTCATTTGTGCCTATTTTATTTTCTCTGCCATTACTGGGTACAGCTGAATGAGTTAGCATTCCAATACACTTGTTGTATATGGCAAATAAAAAATCTTGAATCTTGAATCCCAATTAAGTGCTATACTGTACATCTTAGGAGGTGGCATAGGTTTTGGAGATCACTGTTTCACAGGTGTTATAGTTATGCTTCACTCTGTAAATAATTATAAGACTCGTAGGGAAAACAAAGTAGCCAAACATTCAATTAATTAGCTCACCTAAGAAAGTTGGATCCAATCCTCAGGATTTATCTAATCAAATGATTTTCAATAAATTTCATCATTAAGTTTTTTCCCAGGCGCTGTTGACAGATTTTGGAGAAACCCTCATTTTTGCATGTTTGCAATGTGTTGTGGGCAGTTCGGTGGGCAGTGGCTAGCATTGCTGCCTCGCAGCGCTGGGGAACTTACGTTTTTCCAACGTATCATCTTTTTGAGCATTACTCACAAGACTGTAAAGTGCTAAACTTGTCTGAACACGATCCTTTTTAGGTTTCCTGTCAATAACCCCCCCACACACACACACTTTGGTGACACAAGTATCTGCTGATGCAGATACAAGGGAAGGTTCCACTTCTGGCGTTTAAAATATGCAGAGACGTGCAGGAGGATGGGACTCTAAATATAACATAATCCTAAACATCTCTTCACTGCCATTCACCCAGCCAGCAATTTGTTAAAGTGTTTAAAATCGCACGTGAGAAGCATGAGTCACTGAGCCGCGACTCCGCTGTGACACTGCATCTCTTCACTGTTTCCGCTGGCTGATGACTCTGATCCTATTACTGCAGACTGATCATGACCCAGGAGCCAACCCGCTGCAGGGCATAGGGCCTTCACGCTGAGGCCGGGTTTTTAAAAACACAGGAGCATGTCATAAACTGACCCCTTCCACCACACTACTAGAAGTAAGCAGTTTTCACAGTACCGTGAGTGATAGCACAGTTCTTTGGGTCTTTTACTCTACCGTCCTATGTCAGAACCCACATAAGGTGAGGGGCACTGGCACTGTCTCACAGCTGGCATAGTGCAGGCAGCCCTCATGGGTGTGACTTGTTTTTTTTCTCATTCCTGGAAACAACACCCACATGTTTTCAGTCCTGGGCCTCCTGCTAAAAAGCCCTCCCTGTCCCAGCCGTAAAGGCTGGTAGTTCTGCCAAGAATTCCAGTCCAAAGTAGGCACTGCCCTCCTTGGCACTGCCCAACCTTCCCCACACACGTACACAGCAGCATCCGAAATGCATGAATCCGTGTGAACGCCCTAACATTTGCTTGAGTGCTGAATTCGGTATTTTACATGCAGGCCTCCTTACCAGCTGTGGAGCAGCCCAGATGGGTCAGTATCTGCTCTTCCTCCTCCTCTTCCTCGCTGTCAAAGGGCCGCAGGGCAGGTCCTGACTCTGGCCCCTCCAGACTGGGCGCCCTCCCCAGCTCCATGCCAGCACACCGCAGTGCCACCAGGCGATGGTGAATGGCCATGTTGAGACGGGCAATGTCTTTGGCGCCACCCTGCAGAGAAATAGGCTTTCAAAAATAGTGCTTCAACAGCCACCTAACTCAAGACTGTTGTGCAGGACATGTCTGTATCACTGCTTATCAAGGGCAACGGGCTACAACACTTCTGTTAATGAGCAAAGGTCTTATGACCAAGTATGCATCACGGCTTTCTTAGAGACGTTGGGCCACAGTGGGTAATTCATCTCTTCGATGAAAGTAACTCACAAAGAACAGGGAATATATGTTAACATCCAAACAGTCCCAAGAAAACATAGTTGCTTACACTTAATTTCACCTTAGCCATTTAGTTGTTCCATTTCTAACAGTTGTGCTAGAAGACAGACTTTGATCGACTATGACTGAAATTATTACCCTGACTGATTTTGCTTCATATACAGCACATTTTCTTTCATCTGGTAGAAATTTCTCTGGGATGCAGGCAGCACTGAATGTTACTTTCAACCTTTCTTAAACAAATTTCAGTTTGGAAACTGCTGAGACTTGCAGCAGTGGCTTGAGCGTTGCCGGAGTTGGCACTGACGTGGCGCTGCTTGCCCAGACATGGACAGGGTGATCATGGATGCTACCTGTCACCGGTAACACTGTACCAGCCTTGACATGGTCAATAGGTGAACTTTACACTCTCCGACATTTCCTGGGCTGAAATCCTTGACATCAGTCTCTCATCTCAAGATCACAGAGTCTGTGGCTAAAGACGTACGCCCGCTGTACGTCCAGGGCTCCTGTTTCCACGTGCAACATGAACGTCCACACAGATATACCCATGATGCACATGAGTGCGCTGTTTTTCCAGTTCTCTAACCCAAGGGATCCAGTCAGCACATAGAAGTAGCGTGTTCATATGTGCAAGTTTTGCAAAGGCTTCTTCAAAGCTCAGAATGTGTTGCATTTGCCGGGATAAGCTTACACAAACATTTAATTCTGCTTTGTCCCGGGAAAGATGCTTGGAAGTGCTGCGGCCCTGCCCCTCAACTGGTGCTCACCTGGACGAGGAAGATCCGGACAGAGCGCTCCTCCAGCTCGGTGGCGGTGAGCTGCAGGTTTCTCCTGCTCGCTCTGTGCACGTGCATGTCAGCCCACAGCTTGGAGTTCAGGATCACCTTCAGGCTGCCCTGGTTTCTCATCACTGCAGGGGGAACAGGGCGTTTTCAGACAATGAACCGGAATGGGATTATGCTTACTGACAGGAGCCACATTAGAAAAAGCAATACAGAAAAACAAAACATTGGCACTAGCTTTTTGAAAGAACTCTTTTCTGAGCTTGTCTGTAACATGACTAATTTCACACTCAAAGTTTACCTTCAGGAAGACTTTCTGGAAAAGCAGGTCACAAATTAACTAATACCCTAATTGTTTGGGTCTCTTGGATTTTTTTTATCCTTTTTTGCTAAAGATTTCCAGGTGCTAAAAAAATGTAAACCTCAAAAAATGTAAGCAACAAAATGTCTGAGTAAGCAAATAATTCTTTATTTAATGAAGGTCTTAATCAAGCAATTAAGAAGATGGCTGGAGCAAGAGCTAGCAGGTAAAGGTCCGGAAGCCCTGCAGTTTACTGTACCTAATCGTGACTGGAAGCTTCCTGGCCTCTCGGCAGCCAAGTCATTGAGCCGCAGAATTCCCCTGCCTCTCTCCCGCCAGGACTGCGTCGCCTTCTCAAACACAAACAGCTTGCAGGTCATCTGAAACCCCACAGAAGGGCAAGACTTGTGAAAAATCAAAACCAAAACTTAAAACACTGTGCCACCTACTGCATCCCAGACATCAGCAGTCTGGTGGTTTGGAATGGGTAAGGTCAAATTCAGGGTTTCTCAGGAGTGTTCAACACACCCTCCATGAGGAGCAGGACACTAGCCTATTCTACACTGGCTCTTGGCACTTGTTTAAGATGTACTACATGTACTAGGAGAAGAAACTGTGTTTTACTGAGGAGAATCATTACATGACTTTGGATTGGATCAAGCGGTAGGACAGAAGATGGATAAGATCTTACAATGCGCTGTGACTCTCGCCAGGAAAAGCAGATTAGACTAAAGCTGGACGGGAGGCAGGGAGATGCGTCCCAGCTCTTGACGGGACTTACCTGCACCACGTTGCTCTCCAGCTCCTCTCCCGTGAAGACCCTCACCCTCTTCAGCAGGCACCTCCGCCCGCTGGCCGCAGTGCAGGCGGCTGCTGACTCCCTCAGCGTGCGCCTCCTAACCGCTGCAGGGGGCACAAGGAAGGGACAGCTTTAGCACCAGGGCTCAACTCACGGCCAGGACTGAGAGCAGTGGCGCCCCCTGCCAGCTGGTGTCAGAAATGAACGTCAGTAATAAAGGCTGTTCAGCGGGGCACACACTCCCCTTCACATCTTGCCTTTAAAAATGCATGCTTCACCTGTCTTACAGCATGCAGGCGTGTGCTAAAAATCTGTCATTTGCTAGATGGGATGGCCTTTTCCTTCCTGTCAATGAGCAGTTTATTTACAATGGGACATGCCTCTTCTAAAATCTGATGTGAATTCACCGTGCATTGTAATCATTCTGACTGCTGAGCACACAAAACGTCTTGTTGCCTCTGGTTTTTAGTATATGCTAACATATATTAGTTATACCGTGGTTAGCTGTGCACATTCATGGACAATTGTGGTGTGGCTACTTAAATTCAAACTCCATTATTATAGAATATAAATACTTTTTTTTACTCAAAGCTAAGATATAGCATGCTGCAGGACTGAACAGCATATATTATATCAAGTAAATAAGTATTCTATGTGTTGCCTAACCACATGGTTAGGATGTACAAGGTCACAGGATGCATCTTCTTTAGCAATAATTGGGATTGTATGAAAAACTACTGGAAATTGAAGCCTGCAGCAATGGACAGTAATTAGACCCCTGGGACCTGTGCAGACACTGAGAACCACTGTCTCCATTGTGGGCTCCCAGTACAAGATAGAACAGGCAGACAAGCCATCCATATGACTCAGACAATGGCACTGAAGGCATATAGCTGGCAGTAAAAAGCAGATTCAAATTCCTTGTGAAGAGCACGCAAATAGTTTCTGATTTCAGATATATTTTTATGAATAATGACGGCCATAAAAAGAGTCTAGAATATGTATACACTTTAAACTATATGAGAGGAGGACCACTTAAGTCAAGTAAAATACAAACTTTTGGCTTCTGGAGTAAAAGGGGATAGTGTATTAAAAAAGAAACTATAAAGCTGAATGTTGTTTGTAACAGCGCTGATTTTGTCAAACAGGATAATTTTAATGTACCTTTCTGTTCCAAACATTCAGTAGTTCCATGTTTTATAACACAAAGTAAGGAAAAAACAAAAACAAAATGTAAACAAGTTGATTCAACTGCCAGCAGCTGTTAATCAGCTGATGATCAGCAGTTTCCTGCAAACCGCTCTGCTCTTCAACAGGCTATTGTATGATCTAGGATCTTTTCTGTTGCAACTACAACTACTGCCACAAGGGGGCAAAAAAACACCATAAGCTGAAGGGCAAACGATTCAGGGATGCCAAGGAAATTGAGAGAGAAGGCTGGAAAGAATCATCAAGTCACCTCAGTTTTATGGAAAATCTTGGATTAAAAGAGAAACTCCTCCAGCAGCCTTAGTTCACCCGGGAATTGTGAAGTGAATTCTGATTGTTGTCACACAAAAACATCCCTTATTCACAAGGTCAGCCTACGGTCTCCCAGATCCTGTGAGACAGAAGGCACCACGTTTTCCAGCTGATGTTGGCAATGCCCTGCAGAACGCTGTCAGACTATAACTCCTGTGATTTACTGAGCAGCCGGAGAACACTGGGGGCTGAACAGCTACAGAAGATTAACTGCAGGGACATTCCATATTGAAAGAGACGTACTACTTTGTACAGAGCATGTCTCTAGCCAACTGCCCTGCTGTGTTGCTGACTGTTTCCTTCTGGGAACCTTCAAGAAAACGGTCAAGGAGCTGCTGGATAACATTCTGAGACCAGATACCTGCCTGCAATAGGCTGAATCAAACGAGGGGACTGTCTGGTTTGTGAGTTACTGGGACTCGGTGGCAGCTCTGCACAGTTCTGCGCAATCAAATCGAGATCGAAGACCGAGAACAAAGCGTCCCCAGCCTGTGTCACGTCAGGGGCTGTGTAGCTGAATGGAAACTCCAGGAAGGGACACGCAGGGCAACACTTACTTCCATGCGGTGATCCGCAGGTTGGGGACTCGGAGTCGGAGTCGGACTCGGAGGAGCTGGACTCTGGGGCAGTCGCACCGTCTTCGCTGTTGTCCGATACGTCAGCGTCCGGAGTCTTCATAGGGCTCTGGGAGGAGGGAAATCGACTGCTGTATTTACACATCAACGTCAGCTCCAGCGATTGAGTGAGAACACAGAGGAAACTTACAGTACATGGCTGACAGGTCTAACGGCACAGGGCCGCTGAACACTGTGGGGCTTTCAAATGAAAAGCAACTATTCGTTTACCTTAAATGCAGCTTCATTTTTCAACATTTCACTGCAGGGAAATCTATGTCTTAAAAACTGTGACGTTCTAAAAGGTTTTCATCTGCTAGCCAAAACGACACAGAAGTGCCCTCAGTCCAAAAATTGATGGACAGAATATTATGACATTATACATTATGACATTACATTATCCACTTCATACTATACTTACAGTTACAGATTTTTCCTGTTAAACACGTAGAGTATAAAACATGAGGTTTTTTAACAGATCAAAGTAAAAAACATCAATCCAAAGCTAATACAGTGATTAATGCCAAATTCAGTTACACTTTTGTAGAAATGAAAAAACTCTGGCATCCAGTGCTCTCTGGGTAATGAAAAGGCTAGTACAAAAGTCTGTACTTTGAACAGTCATGTTGGTAAATAACAGTCCTATTTAAACAAAATAGAGCCAAAGATATCAGTTTTGAATGGAAACAAGTTTAAAAATGTATTCATTTTCATTTTTAACAAAGAACGTATGCGATAAAGGTGCACAGCCTTGCTCCTTACACATCTTTAAAAATTAACTTCACATTCTTGCTTCTGCATTAGCAATTAAATCTGGAAACATCAGACCTGTTCACATACCAGGCGATCAGTTTAAGTACCATAACAGTGAACAGCTGGGATTCCTTAGTTGAAGTCAATATTCATTTCTGATGAACACTGAAGCCAAAATCGGCTAATAACTCTTGATATTTTAACTCTTGTCTCCCATTCTCTGCTAGAAGATGTGATTATACAGACCTGCAGGTGTAATTAAATTAAACATGTTATTGAGCTCCTTAAGGTGACACAATCCCCTTGAAGTCTCCAGTGAGAGGCAGACCTTTTTGGAGTAGTGGAATTCACCAATGTCAGAGTGGCAGGATTGACACAGACCAAAGCCCGATAGGAAACAAGCACCGCATGACTTGCCAATTAGTGATAATATAAAGACAGCCCTGGGACTACAGATACACAACAGTGCAGAACTAAGGCCTATCCTGAGTGTCAGCTTTAAAATAACATTTTTCTCATAGTTTATATTATTGGGTTTCCAGCTACTTGCCTGGTTAATTAGTTAGAAAAGTATTTTAAATATGAAACCAGATATACTCACCAAAACTCTCTCGCTCATGTTTTCCCCAAACACAAATGGGAAACTGCTCTCTGTGGCAACCAGGTCCATTTTCACAGGACTTCTGCAGAGAAGGACGAGATGCCAACAGATTTACCTTTGAAGCCGTGTCCTCACCAACAAGGGTAACCAGGACTTTCCAAGCTTCTGTACAAATTTGATTTTTTTTAGTTTTCACTTTAAATCTTTGTTCTAAACAACATCTATTTCCAGTCATGCTTAAAGCAGTCCCTATTACTGGGCACATACAGTAACAACACTATACCAGCTCATGTTTTGTCACCTGAAGTTAAACACTTTCGTCCTCAGTCACCAAACTAAAATAGCAACACCGGCACTAGGGCAGTTCTTAAAAGAAATTCCCACATTGGGAAATTTTCAACAGAAACGTCTGACTTTTGTTCTCTGAAACATACATCTACATAACACAATCAGTCAAAACCCCACAATGATCATAGATGTATTTTTCCCCCTACAATCAGCTCTGATGGGATCAAGCTACTTATGTTTGTAAGCTTTCATTTCTCAACACAGACTATGCATATTTCATTGTTTCCACTCACATATAATATTGGAACAAGACTTAATTTTGCTTTACATGTTGGTAATAGACCTTTAGGACTAATAATAATAATAATGTGGATTATTATTACCACCAATTTGCCACCAAATATTCCAGGGGCAGGAACGCCTAAAGAAAAACTTACTGAAAGTTTCAGGTATATTAAACAAAAGTTCATTACTCCTTGTCTGTGAACTGCTGTATGTGCTGTTTGGCAGAGGGTATTCAAACTGCAGATCAATGGTTATAAAGCAAGGGTTTAATTTTCACAATCCCCAGACCAGAGGAGCACTCCTCCGCTTGAGATTTGATACGGATACACTGGTTACCTGTCTGCCTGAGGAGGCACAAGCTGAGGGAAAGTGGAAGATGGGAAAGTGGTGTCCGACTCTATGCCTGGTGGGCGACTTCCTGGAAAACTGTGGAGCTCTGTTGGTGCCTATTGATCAGAAACAAAAAGGACAGCACATTCTGTTGATGTGTGTGTTGCTGGGGGGCGCTTACCAAATTAAGCTGAGTTTGCAACACAGTGACTCAATTGTAATCAGTGAGTAAACAATGACTGTTGTTATTTTTTCCTCAAAACAAATTTAAACGTGTTTCGGAATCTGTTTTTTTGTAGAATGATCATTTGGAGGGGGCTGACCAAACAAACAACAGAAAGTGTTGACCTTAGCTCAACAGGGGTGTCGTATTCACTGCATAAGTGAATGATTTCAAAAGTTTACATAGCCCAAAATAGCAAAGATTAAAATGAAGGTATAGGGCAGTTTAAGAGATACAGTACCAAGTGGGAGGCCTGCTCTCCTCTCACAGACATGCCCAGCTCAGTGCACCAATCATCATTCTCCTCTCCAGACATGCCCAGCTCAGTGCACCAATCACCTCTCCCCTCTCGCAGACATGTCTACCTCAGTGGACCAATCACCATTATCCTCTCCAGACAAGCCCAGTTCAGTGCACCAATCACCATTCTCCTCTCCAGACATGCCCAGCTCAGTGCACTAATCAATCTCCCATCCAGGTACTGACCAGGCTCACACTTGCTTAGCTTCAGCGGGCTGCCAGTTGTGAGTTGCAAGATGATATTTCTTTTAATTTCACATTCACTTTCACTTTAATTTCACATTTCACCGCCCTTTGGCTTTTCCTAACCAAAGGTCACAAGAGGTCATTCTTGATTTGCTGGCGGGTGGCGGTAGTGACTTGAGCTCACCTGCTGGTCTGGCGCCCGGCCGGAGCAGGGCGTGTCAGCAGTGGTCAGGCTGCAGGACCCCTCTGCAGGCAGAGGCGGGGAGATGCTGTGTGGTCTGGGAGCCTGGAGGGTGGCCGGCCTCAGCACAGGCCCTTTTGCTTTCCACGCTGAACAATCTGCTGGGAGAAAACAGCAATCGCGATCAGCACCACATGTGAGGCCTCCACTAACAAATACATTCCTTCTGAAGAGGAACCCTTATTGCTAGGCCATGGATTTCAAGTATGCAAAACATCCTTCTTCTTTTTTTGAAAATGAAAAAAAATTGTTGGCACAGTTTCATACACTTGCCTTTACAAAAATTCCAACTATTTCATTGTGTAATGAAAAGATTTAACGCTTTAAAAGAAGGAAGCATTGAGTGGTGGTTTTCTTTTGCCTGCAAACTAAGATTAAAAACCTTGAAAAGCCAAACATTTCAGAAACATCTACAATCCTTATTAATGCTCTGATATATTAAATACATCTGCCTGCCCTTCAACAAACTAATTTAAAATATCTCAACAAAGGTAAACAGAAACCCTAAACTGTCATTAAGTATATGGATTGGAATTTGTCACTAGCAAAAATCAAAGTGATTTAACTGAAGAGTTTGTTTCCTCTCAGGTTTAGTATAATACAGCTAACTTACTGAATATCACTCCCTTATTCCTGAGAGAAGTGCTCTAATTTCAATTGAATTTTAATTAATTGGAACTGATCACAACAGAAACACTTATACGTGCCAAGCTATAGGAAAATACAAAAATAGAAAATTGAGAAATTTAGCTTTTTGACTCTTTATAAAAGCTTTAATGCTGAGATTTCTTGAAAACACATTCTCCTATTTAACCGCAACTAGTTAGTTAATTGAGGACTTGAGAAGCAAACACATCTGTATATCTCTGAAGGTTTCAAAACACAAAATTAATTGTAGCTCTGTGGTACACAGTTCAGATCACCTCTGTGATGGGGTATAAACAATGAAATTTGCAAAAAGTGCTCGCAACATTCCTTCATATACAAATGAGAAATGAAGCTAGGCCTTTCCTGACTGCAAAACCACTTCACTTTAATGCAAAACCTCTGCATTAAAATTGTGTTTGCTCCTTCATAATTTCCTGCCAGGGAAACATGAGTCTGAATCAACAACAGTACCCACCTGTATCTACAGGACTGCTGCTGTCGATGTTAGGATTGCATAGACTCGAAGGCATGAACACATTTTTTCTTGATACTGGAAAATAAAAGGAAGAAAAAAACACATTCAAAGTCAGAACAATTCCACTTTCAATCTACAAAGGTTAAAACTAAAAACTAGAAAAGCAGAAAGCAATCTACCCAAGACAAAATGTACCATGCCTTAAATATCATAACTGGAGCTCCCGCTGTTTTTTTCTCATCACATTGTGAAACTCACATGCTTTTAATAATAAAAGCTCACCTCTTTTCTCAAACTCACCTCTTTTAATAATAATATATTTGCTTACACTTATATAGCACTTTTCTGGACACTCCCCTCAAAGCGCTTTACAGGTAATGGGGACTCTCCTGCACCCCCATCAATGTGTAGCCCCACCTGGTGTACTCATCACAGACCAGCTATCAGTAAGGAGGAGAACAAAGTGATGAAGCCAGTTCAGAGATGGGGATTATTAGGAGGCCATGATTGGTAAAGGCCAATGGGAAATTTGGTCAGGACGCCGGGGTTACGCCCCTACTCTTTTCGGAAACATCCGAAGGATGGAACTCTTTTACAGTATAGTGTCCCTGTCACTATACTGGGGTATTAGGACCCTCACAGACCAAAAGGTGTGAGTGCCCCCTACTGACCCCACTAACACCTCTTCCAGCAGCACCCTTAGTTTTCTCAGGAGGTCTCCCATCCAGGTATTGACCAGGTGCACACCTGCTTAGCTTCAGTGAGTTGCAGGGTGATATGGCCTGTTGTTTTTGTCAAGTCATATCTGGCAGTAGTACTTTATCAGGTTAAAACAGCTCCTTCAGTGGACAGCAGCTCCCCTGCAACAGGTGATCGCCATGGATTAATGACAGCGGCCATCCAGCTGGAGCCTTGGGCCACTGTGAAAACCTTCTAATGTACTGATGCAACTCCTTGTCCAAAATCTCTGCCATGGGGTCTTCAGACAAGACAGACAAGTGCACACGCCATTATTAAACCTTTCTCCAGGCGCCTAGGATGACGTGCAGAGGGAAGGACGCCTTTACACAGTGTCCACGACAGACAGCCCTACCTGGACGGGAAGGAGGGAAGGAGAAGGAGCACACCGAGGAGGACCGCTCTCTCTGCTGCCTGTCTGCAGGACCTGGAGAGACAGGAAAAGATGGGCCTTATTTCCTGCTTCCACTCTACAACTCCAATCAGCGCAGCATTCCTCAAGCACTCCGGTTTTTATTAAGGGCTCACAACTGCCGCAACGAGAGCTGAAAGAGCACAGAGGAGGTTTCCAAAAAATTCACCCATGTCGCTCAGGTGAGAAAAACAACTATGGCTCCGGTTCACCCCATGAACCCGGTTCTGTGATCAGTTTTGTTATTTTATTCGAAAAACAACCAAGCCTAATACAGCACAAAAACAGAACGTTCCCCTAGAGGGACTAAAATGCTTTAAGTTGTTGGTCTCTAGCCCATTGTTAAAGGCTGGGGGATGCTGCCAGCGGGATCACATTGTGAGACAATGACTCTCGGTTCTGTTGAGGTTGGGAGCCCCCGGCTGACACACCCACCTGTCTCCCCTGCCCTGTAGGAGGCACTTGGAGAAGGGAAGGTGAAGGAACGCCCGCGTTTTCCGGGACTCGCTCCCAGACCTGTAGAATAAGAGATCATGAAACAAGAGGATTGTTAGGGATATATCCAAGCCCATAACTCCGTGAGAGGAAGACTTGACAAGTCATTTGCTACGATTCTCCCTCATAAGGCACAGGTTTCAGGGTCAAAACATCACTGTCACTAAGATCACATAAGAGCCTGAAAGGGTGGGAGCCTCTCATGACTCCAGTCTACCAGCTCAGATCTAATAATTACCACTGCAAGACACAATATTAAAATATTTGTAATTAAAAGCACAAAATAGAAGCATCATTTCTGGAGCTCCTGAAAAAACCTGCATTTAACCTGCAGGTCAAATGTGCTCCCATGGTGTCTAAAGTATTTGAGGGCATAGGTTTCATAGGAAAAGCACCAATGTTATTAAGGTGGTGAATAGTATCAATCTGATGAATTTGTTGTACTTACAAATCTTGTCTACAGAGTCTTCAGCCAGCCTCTGTAAAACAAAACACGATACTAAAACATCTTTGTCTTCTTTGTATTAATTTATTCTGGTTTATGATTCTCTATTTTCTGGTTACATCACTTCATATTACACAAGATGTAGAAACACATCACTTTAAGAAATCTGTTCAATCTGGCTCAAATTAGAATACAAGAACCTTGTGGCTTCATAAGCTACCCTTCTGTGAGCATCACTTCAAACTTTAAAATGTTTACATGTACGAGTACTGCAGTGATTAATGCTTCTAATCCTCATTTGGGGTGCAAAATAATTTGAAGTGAGAACTGACCTTCACTGGCAGCGCCGTCTTCTGGAAAAGGAATACTGGTGGAGCAATCACAGGCTTCACTGCGGACCAGAAAAGACAACCCCTTAAAACACACTCCCATCGGTCTAACGCCTGTCAATATTCAGTGACTCGGTACCACATTTCTTTCCCAGAGCACACCCTAAAGACTTCTTTCTCTTACAGCTGTGGGCATGTCAAAGCTTTTCAACAATTTGTGTGATTTCCTGGAAGGGAAATATTTAATGTTTGGTTTCATGGGTATTTCAAACACGTTTTTATTTTTTCATCTTGATGACAAGTTCTCTTATTTAGAAAAGGAAGTGCCTTTTATTGCTGGGGTCAGTAATGTTATTAACTGTAAGCTTCCTTCTCAGACGTGCTACTTTTTGAAACTGAAAATCCTTATCCTGCTTGAAAACACAATGTATTTTCAACAGTGATTAAAATGCCACTACCCCAGGACACATTTGTCCGGCAGAGATGTACAGACTGAGCTGTCATTATAAGTCAAGGGCTTCTGAAATGTCACACCCATGCTATTAGCCAAGGAGCTGAATGAATGGAGCCCTTCACTGCCAGAAACGATTATGCAATCTTGCGCCCCAGTGGAGCCGCACCATACTGGAACAAACAGTGTTCAGACCAGACTGCGTAATCAGAGGGCTGCTAAAAGTGTAACCCAACAGAAAACAGGGATCTTGGCTGTGTGGCTAAACCACTCCAGATCAAACCTGTCTGTAGGACTGGTCTAAGAATAACCATCTGGTTTAGCACTGTCTAACTGTGGCAGCTGGGACACTGGAACACCTAGTCCACAGGGACATGCACAGGTCGAGCAGATTAAAATTAACAATTCTCATGACCACAGAAGTCTATCACCTTGCCTGGCCACAACAATCCCCAGATGCCAGTCCTGCTGAACACTGCTGGAACTGGTTGAACTTTCAGCTCCCTGTGAGAAGACTACGATAAAACAGGGATTGGAATATTTCAGAACCATGTTTAAATACAGGACACTGCTTACGGAGGCTCAGGCCATTAAACTAGTAATAAGTCCTTGCATCTGTATAACGTTTTTGTGTCAGGGGATGTCTTTACATGCAGGACATCCATACTATGTACATCTGCAGCCCCACGTGGATGTCACAATACTGCTATTCTGCAGCAGAAATGGGAAGTGAAGAAGAGAGAAACTGTTTAAACAGCTGAACTTTGAGAAGGCCAGACTGTACAGCACAGAGTGGAGTTTAGCCAGGACACCAGAGTGACCATGTGAGTTTCAATGCGTTTTAATGACCCAGAAGCCATGACCCAAGTTTCACGTCTCATCCAAAGGACAGCACCTCTTACAGCCCCAGTCACGGTCCCCAGATTCGGTATTGAGACGTGGGTTTACAAATTCTGGTCCAGTGGCAAGAGCGCCACCTACTGGACCACCAACACCACTACCAGGAGAAAACTGGCTTTCCTTGGAGGTCACCCATCCTAGTCCTGACCAGGCCCAGTGCTGCTGTGATTCACAGAGCCAACAAGATCAGACTGCAATGTGCTAAAGGGCATTATCTGGTGGAGGTTTGCATAGTTTTAGCCAGCAAATGCATATCTGTATCTTAAGTAACCTTAAGGGAGGAGGGGACTAACTTGAACCTTCTACTTAAGTTCAGCGCATTCTGACGTGAGGCACATCTGCCACTTTCCCCCAGCAGCACAACCCTTCTATAATCTCCTAACCTCATTAGCGCCAGACCTCAATCATTAATCAGGAATTAACACACAGGGTTTTGTTTTAATATCCTTTCCCTCAAATTACAACAACACAGGAACAAGAGTTAATACATTCAGGATCAGACAGTTTTCCCTGCGGGACCTCAGAAGGATTCTGAGCGAAAGCTTCATGTTTGCCGGTATCTTCTCGAGCAACGAAAGGTTTCATCTGGCCTGTTGGTTTTCAACCCTGCTGACATCAGGACTGAGTCCTCCTGGGTTCAGTCCCTCAGCATTAATGTTGAAACTCTGCTGGTTGATATCAAGGTGCCCTGTTCACTAAACAGGCCTATTCACCTCCTCTTTTTTGTAACCCTTCTCATGGTCTGATGTCCTGAGTTCACGATGGCTCATGGTAAGGGCAAGATCAAATACAGACTGGACCAGCGTGTCTAGATGAACAAAAGGACCACCTACAGTAATTCATTTCCAAATATGCTCTTCCAGGTTCTCTTGTCTATGTTCTCCCCTGATGTAAGAAAGCATGCAAGATCTCAAAACAAAACAAAATAAAACTGGGCTTGCAGTGGGGTCAAAGAATCAGAATGAAAGAATGTCCCTTTGCACCTAGTTATTCTCAAACATCTCTTTTGTGCCCCGTTGTATCGGAATGTGACTACCTTGTTACATCAGATCACAGGTTAACTGGCTGGACACTTGCTCTTTAACATGAGATTTCCATCTCGGGAGAGGGGAGGTCTCCTACGGAAGAGCTGGAAACATACAGATCTGTGACTCGTTGATTGTTGGAGGATTTGTTGCCACTGCAGTAAGCAAAGATGTGCGACAGCTTTTGTGCATTGTTGCCTTCGACCAATGGGCAGCCCCTTAGTCAAAATGTTAATGATGTCGCCCGTTTTCTCTTGCACCTGACTGGACTCTCTTTGTTTGCAAGTCTGTGGCAACGTGTCAGACTGGATGCTGTCCCTTTGATTGCATTACATACCTCACCTGCTGGTTTGGTCATTGTCTGTGTGATGTAATATTGCAAATATGAGGTCGTTTTTCGATAGTCTGACGTGTAGACAAGCCCTATTTTATTTCTGAGCTCCCTTTCATGAAAACCCAGTGCAACACGTCCTCTTTTAAGGAGAAAGAAGGTGTGTCCTGCTTTTGCAACACCTACACCTTTAAGAAAAGCGGTGTCACAGTTGTAAAAGCTGGGAGAGAAGAGAGGTCAGGTTACGCTTTTATCACAATTACTGCTGCTCTTCATGGTCAATGACACTTTCAACCTTAACCCAGACAGCTAAAATCAATACTTGAGCCAACAGGCTTGTGTGGTTTTCCATAGACACACACATACACACAAGCAAGGGAGACATAATCTGTTAAACCAAAATCTGCAACAGGCACAGAAATTGCCCTGGACTGAATTGCTGTTTGCAAAGATTAAAGGTAAATGATACACCCTGGAAGAGGCAGCTCTGCTCATTCTGGCTAACATAGTGTTTCCCCTGGAGGGGAAATTCCGATGGGATTTGCAATCTGTATTGTTTAGTAGATTCTTTACATTAGTGTTGAGTTCTAACACAAAACACCACAGACTGGGGATGACCAAGGACCACAGCTGGGGCTGGAAGGATACAAGCAGAGGAACATCAAGACTTGCCTAACATAATGGAGCCCAGGTACCGTATATATCAGATGTCCTGATACTGTACATGATGTGGGCACTGACTTGCAATCCTTGTTCACTGCTGATATAAGCAACAGCAGGGCACACACCTACAGGCAACTCTCTACCAGAACCAGATGCCTCTGGAAAATAAAAAAACAAACTGACATTAACTCTCCCAGAGCACTTTCTTATTTAAGACTCATGCTCCAGTCAGGGCAGCTAGCTCTATTTTTTTTCAAAGATCCCAGCTATGCATTTGCAGTTGATGCATATCACAGCAAAAGCAAAAAGCAAATGTTTTTATGTCCACGTCTGGGTTAAAACACCCAAAAAAGGAGCGCGGAAATGCATTTGTTTTACTCTGTTGTCTTCTTTATGGAGAGTGTTCGCACTCTGATAGCCGTTCAGGCCTGTGCAAGTTCTATTTAGTAAGACCTGTCAGGATGAATCCGTTTATATCACTGCCCACAAGCGTGGGTGGCAGTCAGGCTAAGTGGTTGAACTGATTCAAACTGGAGGGTTGTGGGTTCGAATCCCAGGTGAGGCACTGCTGGCGTAACCTTGAGCAATATACTCCTCATAATTTGCCATGCTCTGCTGGGTGAATGGGTGCCCTCCAGGCTTTCATTGCAAATGAGGATCTGTTGTCAACTGAGTCCTACAGTATATTAAAAACGCTTAGCAATCAGAGGGGGAGAGCCTCCCACAAGGAGGAGTACTTGATTGCTACATGGCAAATATTTTCCTGTTTTTACTTTCATCCTGTTATGGCCACCAGTTTATTTCCTGCTAGATTTCACAGTGTGCAAAGTTATCCAACTAAATCTTTCCCGCAAATAGCTGTTATGATTTTAGAAGGCTTTACTGCTGTTGGTTGTTTTTGTTCTGTAAAATGTGTCACCACACACGAGTGCAGCTTCCCAAGTCTGCACCACAATTTACAACTGCCTGCAGATTCCGGCTTGGACTGAATCTTAAGCGAAACAGCATTTTAACTCTTTCATGCACAGAAATCATGTGGATTTATAACACAATGATTTTTTAGACAGTGCACCAGCAACATATGATCTTTTTTCACAATACCCAGTGAACAAGATTTTTATCCATCTGTTTTTAGTGACTTCCACATACGCTTCCTAGCGTAACAGGAGATCACTTCTTGAAGAAGTCTAAGAAACATGGCTTACCTTTACAGAAACCATTCCACAACAAGAACGTGATCACTATCATTACTCATCATTACTTGTCATTAGCCCTTAGTCTCAAGTGAGCAAAATGAAAAGCCTTCTGCATTGCATCCAGAGCCAATGTTGTGATATCTCTTCCCTACGTGCCTATAGCTTTTTTCTACATGTAGCCCCCCTGGACTTGTCTTTCAAAACCCTAAAGAGACGCAGAAGTTAAGCTAAGCTGCCGCTTGGAGCTAAAACTAAAGATCTGCCGTGTCTGTCACTCTGAAGCCATGCCTGTGCTCTTCTCTATTCAAGGAAGACTGCCCCTCAGCTCTGACTCTCTGGCATTGACCAAACCAAACATAAACCACGAATAGCTTCTATATGAACTCAGTGACACTCTAAATGTTCAGGCAGATGTTTAACCCTTTCGCACCAAGATTCCAACTCCCACCACAAGGTCCAAAGTCACTGAGAAGAAGCCAGCAGCTGGTTCCTTCTG